GAATTAGGCTTGGTGAAAGAGGATATTTAGGTGATGGGTGTCCACGCTGTGCATCGCGGTACGAGAAAGAGACTCAACTGGAGATTTCCATATACCTGTTGCATAAATTGGTCAATTAATCTCAAGAAAAGCTAAGGAAGGGTATTGACAAGTATAACAATTGTACCAAGTGAGGAAAGATCTGAAGATGGTGAATGTAGAATGGGTGGTCGAGTTCGCTTGTTCCTTTGTGCAGGTTGTGAGTTAGAAGAGTTACTAGTCGCAACAAGAGGCTCCAATTCCCATGGCAACATCCTATCGGGACGTACGAGATGAAGGTTCATCCCATGAACTGAAAATTGTCAACAATGTAAATTGTTTTCAGAAGTCAAATATCCCAAGAAGTGATTCTAATGCATGGAGAACAAAAAAGAAATTACAGAGTGGTTTAACCTTGAGAGATCTCCACTTGGAATCAGCCCATGGATGATTATATCCCCAACACTAACAATTGTGCCACTGAATCTGCAGGCGTAAAATCTTTACCTGTTAGCAAGTACTACCAATTTCCTACTCCTCGAAAAACAATTCAGTCAGGTCATACCTTCTTTCAGGTACTCTTCACCTCGAATCTCATTTTGAACCTCATACCAACTGATAGCTTATGGCTTCGAGCTTCAAGATACTTGTTTACACTCACTATGAACTCAGACAAACTTGTTCTAGTAAATAGAATGGTTGTCATAACAAATATCGTTTTTCAACAATACATACAACACACAATTACTAAAATGAATTGACTATAACATGACCCGAACATTGGTTTTAAAGACGCGCCTCGGGCGAGCCTAGGCGCCAGGCACTGAAGATGGCGCCCGCCCGGGTTGAGACGAGGCGAGATACAAGAGGCGCGCGCCTACGGGCTTTAGGCGCCAGGCGCCGGGCGCAGCGCCTTGGAGCTTCTGGGGTTAAAAACCCTAACATTCAAAATCTGTCTTTGGTTGAATCCGCCTCGGGCGAGCCTAGGCGCCAGGCACTGAAGATGGCGCCCGCCCGGGTTGAGACGAGGCGAGATACAAGAGGCGCGCGCCTACGGGCTTTAGGCGCCAGGCGCCGGGCGCAGCGCCTTGGAGCTTCTGGGGTTAAAACCCTAACATTCAAAATCTGTCTTTGGTTGAATCCTTTGGTGGTGGCTGATAATCACTGGTTAGGGTTTATCTCTGTTAATCGACATTTGATAAAGGAAAGGAAAGGAAAGGAGAGGAAAGGAATATAGGGGTATTGAAATAGCAGAGAAAAAGATGAAAGCAATATTGAAACAGTTCAATCAAATGAATTTTATAGTGCACAGTGATCAGGTTAACAGCTATAATGCATGGATAGATGTGCTACATTGCATTTAACAGCAAGATAATGCATTGAATTAGACGTGCTGCATTTAACAGTAGGATTAAATGCATTGAATTAGATGAGGAACTAGCTCACATCTCTATTTTGCCTGATGCATGCATCTAACTGTATAGAAGGAGAAACGACACTTGAAAAGAACAAAAAAGAGATAACTAGGTTAAGCAAAACAGTCACTCTTCCCTTATAATTATCAATAAATTACAAAATAGTCGCTCTTCAGTAGTAAAAAAAAAATGTTATTCTCTTAAGAAATTTAAGTTTGAGTAGATGTGTTTGCACTACAAAGTATTTATATGTTGTCAAAGTATTAGTTTGATTTATATTATATAGTACAAACGATACGCCTCGCATACAAAAGACGCGCGCTTACACCTTGCGCCTAGGCTGCAGACACCTTTTGTGCCTCGGTGCACCCTGCAACCTTAAAAACCAAGATCAGAACATTAATAATAACAACAAAAATGGCCAAGAATAGCGGAAAAAAAAGACGGATTATGACATAGGGTTACAATTGGTTGGCTCTGCAGGATGAGAGAAAAAAATACAGACCTGGGCTTGTAGAAGACAGAAAACAAACTCCGGTAGAAAGGGCATGACATGCAGTGGCAAGCACTCCGAGATGCATGCTGTGACTAGATATAACAGAAGATGGCATATTTGCCTGTTGTCTCATAAGCCTCCTCACTCCAACACGCAGCTCCCCATTAGCTCCCCTGTAGAGCAGAAAATATGAATACATAGGCGATAGGGTGGTGAAATGAACAAAAGTAACGAGAGAACAGATACCTGATTTGTGAAGAAAGATCTTGCCTCATGAATATGAAAGCATCACCAGCTACCAACTTTTTGGAACTAGCAAAGACACTCCACCCAGTAGTGAGTAAGTGGCGCTTAGGTTGCCCTGCAATTAGTAATTTAACATTTTAATGTTGAAAAATGAGATTCAAGAAACGACATTACGTTCAAATCATTACAAGCACACCGTCATAGACAGAAGTAACAGATGTCTCAAAGATAAAACTATCACGATACCACACAAAAGGTGGCTCTGAATGATATAACAGAGGTGGCTCTGAATGATACTAACAGATTAAGTGGGGAAAATAGATCACATAAAGCATGATCATTCATCTTTCACAGTACCATAGTTACCATAAAGTAATCAACACAATATTTTTCTCAATTCACATTCTTAAGCTTTCAATTTAGGAAACCAATTCTTCTAGTTTCTACAAGTAACAATTTCACAAGGCCTGAGTAGGGTGGGCATGGGTCGGGTTGGGTTTTTGGTCCACCCGACCCGACCGAGAACAAGAGAGCCTCCACCCGAGACCCGACCTAAAAAAGGTTTCACCCGACCCGACTCAAAATAATAAAAAAATTATTTTTATTTAATAAAAATAATGACTTAATTGAAAAAATTTATATATAGAAGAATGTTATTGTAATTATCCCTAAATATATAGGGTAAAATTATATATTTTTTCGAGTCGGATCGAATTTTTTTCACCCTAAACCCACCCCGAGCACAACATAAAAAAAACCCGACCCGAAACCAATTTTTTTTAGAAAAATCCGACCCGATCGAGTCGGGTCGAAACCCAACGGGTCGGATTTAAATGCCCATCCCTAGGCCTGAGAGAGACTGATTCATTAAAAAAATCCAGTATTCTAATATTAATTTGGTCATTTGAAGGTGATAAGTGATCAACCTCATAAAAGTTCAATAGTAACTAGAGATGCACATAGTCGGATTTAAATCCGATCCGGTTTTTCACTAAGCTAAAAAATCGGTTTATAAAAAAATCGGTTCGGATCATAACCGGTTTAGAGGGCCGGATGATGTAACCGGTTTCGGTTTGAAAAAACCGATTTTTAAAAAAAAACGGTTTTTAATCCGGTAAAAAATCTGGTCATCCAATTTTTTAAACCCCATACCAGATTTTTAAACCCCATACCGGATTTTTTTCCAGATAAAAAACCAATTTTTATCCGGTTTTTTTCAAACCGATTTTTAATCCGGTAAAAAAACCGGTCATCCAATTTTTTCTCAAACCGGTTATACTATCCGGTTTTAAAATATCCGATCCGGTTTTAAAAAAACCGATTTTTCTCAAATCCAATTTCAGATATTTTTTATATAAAATCGGATATTCGGATTTTTTGTGCACCTCTAATAATAACCAACAAGTGTAAGAATGTTCTTCTCTAATTCTAATCATGGCCTACATAATTTTCAAACTCCTTGATCAAGGTCATAAGCCTATTGTCTTTAACTTTTTTTTAGGAATTGAATGTCTCGTTAAAAATTCCCTTCTTGATTAAAGGAGTTTAAAAAAAACTCTTTAATCATCGGAATAAAGAAAAGAGTGCCTTAGGATTTCATTAAACATAAAAATTACACGATACAGCCAGAAAGCCACCCCCAACATAAACAGAACACCAAAACAATAAAAAAAACAACCCTAAATAAACATTAACTCTGCCTAATCCATCTTAGTTACAACAACAGCCTCAAATAAGACTGACCAGACTTAAAACCTGAGCTTGGCCCGAAAGACACCACAACAAAACAACTTTAATGGAAACCAAATAAAACAAACGACTCAAACCATATACACCAAAATCAACCACAAAGGCTAAGAGTTTCCACATAAAACGGATGCAGAGGAGCAAGTTTCGAATCTCCTCCTTATTGCCAAATAATGCTCATCTTGTCGTCGGAGACCATCCGAACTTCCAACTCCAAAAACAAAAATCATATGCGAGTCATCTTCCAAAACTTCCATTGCCGAAATCTTCCGAATACAAAACCACTACTGAGCCGTTAGACTCAAAACCCAAATCTTTCCCTAACTGTAAGGAGTCTGACTCTTCCTTATTTAGACTCTGCCTCAATGCTGAAAATTCTAAATCATAAAGGAATCTGCCTGCAGGATCCTCGCTTTGCACCTTCTTTTAAACTTGCTTCGACAGTGATTTCTTCCTTTGAGGAGCCGAATTTTTGTCATGAGAAGAATATATTATTATTTCCCCTCCTTAACTCTGTGTTTCTGCCTGGAAATGAGCGAGAATGAATCTCCCTCAAAGTTCGTGCACCACCTTGATGGGCAAATTAATTAAAGAATCCTTCATCCTCTCCTTAGCACGTGCTGTCATACAACAATTGTTGTCATTTTTTGCCTCACTCTCCTCATAAACCAGCACTAACTCGTGTTCCACCCCCTTTGTTCCCCGTTCAGCATGGGGAAATCTTTAAAAACCCTCGAGCCCAACAGCGAATGCAGGCTCACAACTTTTCTTGTAGGCATCTTCTTTCTCCCTCGCGTGAACCAACAGATCCGCTTTATCCTGTAGGCTCACATCAAATTCGCTTGGCAAATAAACGACCATCCAGGATGGGAAAATTATTTATATAATCCTTACTCCCCTCCACGTGCAGGCAAACACTGTCCTTAAAGACATCCATTGCTTCTCTCTCCGCGTGCACCAGCATTGTCTCGTGTTCCCCCACTTCCTCAAGTTGCAAAGGAACCATCCCCTGATGCATACCTTACGCTGAACAGAAGCCACTTTGCAAAGTATTTTAGATGGCAGATCGAATGAAGGCATTGGTGTTCTGACCCTGATGCATGATGCCTCAAGCTGAAAATAAAGAATAAAAAGATACTCGGGATTAATAGAACGAACATTGTGTCAAGTTATAAAACTACACCTAACACTTGATAAATAATGACAAATCATAAAGGACACAAGTCTTCAATAGATAACCACAATGTTATTTTATTAGCAAACATAAATAAAAATGCATTCTAAAAATATTCGAAAACAAACACCACCTTGACAGCAAATACACTGACATGAAGATAAAAAAAATTCTTGCAAATACATGCATAACAGAAATATATTTTTACAGACTCTATACATGAAGGGAATATATTTCTAAAACATTTTGTAATTCATTGTATCATATGAATTGATACCGATCCTCAAATACATCTGACAACACAAGCTAACAAGGTTTCAAGACATAGCATACAACCTTCAAATTTTGTTTGCCCAAATTATTATCAGTGATTCACCAAAATGAGAGAATCATACCAATTCTTTTATAAAATAAAAAGAAGCATGACCCAATATTAATACCAGATGATTTCTTCTGCATAAAATAACCAAGAAGGCAAGAATCAAGTGCTTGCAGGCACCATATGACAACTGTATTAACTAATATAGAATCATTATTATTCAAAATAAGAACACAATGGAAAAGGTTCACAAACAAATTCAACCAACATTTTAAGAAGTGCAATCCAAATCGGACTATCTTTTAAATTACCAAATAGTTAATACAAAAAGGTTATCAGATTCAAGTTTATTGTACAGTCCATACTTGTTCCATGTGACCTTGTGGGACGTAATAAACACGCTCCCCCACACGAGGAAGCGTGACAAGAGGTCCAGAACAGGCATGCCATAGGTCACGATACAAAGGTTCATCTGTGATCACATAAAACGTAAGACAGAGAAGACAATAATAATAATAAATAATAAGTCACCATAATATTTTGTGATACCAAGAAACAAACCAGTACATTTTTTAAACAAGAATTAAGCTTGCATATTAAAACATGGGAAAAGATGCATGCCATATAAAAATTCACAAACCTGGTTGTTGTTAGGCGGATGGAATATCGGGGGCCGCAAAAGCCATAAAAGCACCCCCTCCCCACAAAAGAGATCAGCAGAAAGAAATCAATCAATGGAAACCCTACAACAGTGGATTTATATAAGTAAACAAGTAAATATAAATTGAGAAAATCGCCTCAGTGACCAAAAAAAAGTTATAATATACGATTTTAACCAACTTTTTTTGGATTTGCCAAAATGACCAACAAAATCGCAACGCGAAATAAAAATCGCAACGCGATCCCCAGAATCGCAAATCAGTGTCCAAAATCGCAACGCGATTCTTGAAAATCGCAATGCGATAGTCAAATTCGCATTGCGATTTTCCAAAATCGCAACGCGAATATGAAAATCGCAACGCGAACACATAAATCGCAATGCGTATCCGTAAATCGCAACGTGTATCCGTAAATCGCAACGCGTTTCCGTATATCGCAACGCGTATCCGTAAATCGCAACGATAATCCGTTAATCGCAACGAGAATCTGTAAATCGCAACGATAATCCGTAAATCGCAACGAGATCTGTAAATCACAACACTGAAATTTTTGGTATATAACACTGAAATCATAAACTAAATCCCTAAATCGCAACTCATTCCATCTCCATCTATCACTCTCTCCGGCGACATCCGTTCCTATATCCAACGACATCCTTCCCAATCCGGCAACAGGTTTTAGTTTCGCAGCGTCTGTTTAGTAAATTAATTTACAACCATGAAATCATCTAATGTTGATCATGTTTGGATAGATTTGTGTTTTGGAGGGTCATGGGATATGTTCATGGTGTTTTACAATATATGCCTTTACCCATGAATCTTCAACTAAATTGTCTTTACAAAGTTAACTTATGAAACTCTAATGCTACGTGTTTCAAATAAATTGAATTTAGAGCCCCTAAGTGGATTTAGGCTATCTTATCAGAGAAATGGTAAAGTTTATTTGTTACCGACAATGAAGATGTTGAACGATTCATTGCTTACATTAGGGTTTCACAAGATGATGTTACATTGTATGTTGTTGAACCTAGAAGTAGTATTGTTGGGTCAGTAGCGGGTAGTAATCAACTAAGTTTTTCTCAAAACCCACAACCTTTCTCTAATCCAAATCCCAATCAACTTTCAGCACCAATTCTGGTTTTCGTATTGACCAGTTTAGACGATGATGAGCCAACAGAAAAAATTGTGAGTACTAGTCAGTATTCGAAATTTGGTCTTGGTCAATATCCAGACTTTGATATTGGTCAATACACGGATTTTGATGATGTTTCAGAAGAAGATGATGTTTCAGAAGAAGAAACAGACCATGCGTGTAATGATATTGATATTGGTCAATACCCGAATTTTGATGATGAAACAGCCGTTGCCGAAGAATGTAATGTTGATGATAATGAGGAGGAAGTTACGACTGTGAATGAACATGTTGAACATCCATTCTGTAATTCATATAATCCTGAAGAAGAAAAAGAAGAAGAAAAAGTCCCCGAAGAAAGAAAATGCCACGGGCGTATAACTGGAATATGCCAGAATTACTTCAGATACCGGAAGAAGAGTTGATAAAGAAAGCAGTTGATTGTTACACAAAAGTTATTCGTATCAAGAAAGATGATTGTTTTGATACAAAGGAAGACTTGAAGATAGCTTTATATACGAAATGTGTGGAAGATGGCTATCAACTAAAAGTTAACAAATCAAGCAAAGATCGTTTCGAAACAAGGTGTATGATTGACAAAACTGTACGTGGCGTATGATTGCAAAGAGAATAAAAGATTGCAAAATGTTTCAAGTTAGGACTTTTATTGATAACATACATGTTCAAGAACCCAAGTTTTTCCTCACCATAGACAGGCAAACAAAAGGTGTTGGGTGGTTTTCTGGCTGAGTTATGTTTTGAATGGCAGGGTATATCGGGGACATGAAATTATGACTGACATGAATGCTCGGTTCAAGATTAGTTATCATATTCTCAAGCTTGGAGAGCCAAATGTTATGCCTTGGAATTGTTGAGGGGGTCGCCAGAAGCATCGTTTGCCCAACTGCCGGCTTATTGTCACAATTTAAAGCTGAAAAATCCTGGGTCGGTAACTCATATCAAAACAGATAGAGATGGACGCTTTGAGTTGCTGTTTATCTCCATTGGTGCTACGGTTAGTAATCAATATAATTTTGTTGACTCATTTTTTTAGTTACATGCATTTCACATTTAAATGATATATTCTTGTGTATATTATTTTGTAGATTCGTTCGTTTATTACTTGCATGCGCCCAGTTATTATAGTTGACGGAGCACATTTGAAAGGTCGAACCTTGGAGTAAACTTATTAGTAGTAGCCATGGATGCTAACAATGGGATATTGCCAATAGCTTACGGGGTTGGCAAATCTGAAACCTCTGATTCATGGACATGGTTTATGGGCATCTTAGGGATTGCATAGGTCTGTTAGAAGGTGTTTCCCAGATGCTTTCATGGACTTTGTGGTGTTCATTTGTATAGAAATCTAAAATCAAGGTCTGCTGGTATAAAAAAGCACAAATGGACATACTGGAAGGCTGTAAAAGCTTATCGGGAAGGGATTCAATAAGCATATAAATTGTTTAAGACAGTTTGCCTCAGTGTGCTCAAACACTAGAAGATGTCGGGTTTGAAAGATGGTCAGAGTACATCAACTTGGAGCAAGATATGGTTTCATGACGTCTTATAGTGCAGAATCAATCAACGCTCTAAGTCGTCATTCCGGAAATTACCATTACTATGTTAATGGAGTTTTTTCGAGCCTCTATTCAACAGTGGTACTAAAGAAAAGAACCATGCAGGTATTATTCTTTGAATTCGTAATTATCATATTTATATATTTACTAAGTATTGTTTATTTAAATTTACAGGAACATGTAACATCGTGTTACACCATGGACTGAAAAAAGATAACGAAACGTGTTGTGAAGTCAACGTCATGGAGAGTTGAACCATGTTCAAACACATGTAGTCGGTGCAAGGAAAGTGGTCATACAAGGTTGACATGTGGATCACCAGTGCCATCAAAATCATCTTTTCCTCTACCAAAATATGGATCCTCATCAAAATCCAAAGCTCATATGGTGTCAAGCAAAAGGCAATCATCTTTAAAATCCCAATCACAATTGGCTTCACCTTTTGAGACTGTTAACTTAGGTGATTTTTAAATGCAAACGTTGTATTATGTGGATTTTATGTGTGAACTTTTAACATTTTCAGTTGAATTAATGACTCAGGCCAACCATTTTGACTTAACCAACTCTTGTTATTCAGTTGTTATCACTATTAGGCATGCATTTGACTATCGCAACACGGAAATTACAATCGCAACGCGAAATGAAAATCCCAACATGAAAATCGCAATGCGGAAATGAAAATCGCAACGAGAGAATCGCAATGCGAAATGAAAATCGCAATGCGAAATGAAAATCGCAACGAGAGAATCGCAATGCGAAATGAAAATCGCAATGCGAAATGAAAATCGCAATGCGAAATGAAAATCGCAATGCGAAATGAAATCGCAACGAAAGAATCGCAATGCGAATGAAAATCGCAACGAGAGAATCGCAATGCGAAATTATAAACGCATTGCGATTTTCATTTCCGCATTGCGATTTTCATTTCGCATTGCGATTCTCTCGTTGCGATTTTCATTTCGCATTGCGATTTTCATTTCGCATTGCGATAGTCATTTTTGCCTTCAACATAATGCAGATTGAAATCAACAAAATCAACCATTACATTTCAATCAATTAAACAAGCACAAATAAGAATTATGTTCGCATCAATTACACAAATCAACTTTTACAAATCATCTTTTACAAATCAATTAAATAAGCAATAATTCTTATTTCCGATCATCTACTATTGAATCAACTTTTACAAATCAATTAAACAATCAAAAAACAATCAATTAAACTATTGAATCAACTTTTGCAGCTCGACATCATTTTCACGCAGTTCACTTCTGAGATTAACCTGCAGAAACCAAACATTTGTTCAAACAACACTTTCTACACATCTAAAACCTACAAACAGCAAATTATTGAATTCTAGTTACTTAACCAAACATTTTCAAACCAAAAGTATATAAACTTACCAATTGTTTATGGACATTTTTATAACGCGGATGCAGGTAGGCAGCGTCTCGTATATATCGATTTAGCCATATAATGCCGAAACCACAAGCCTACTGCAGCTTTATCTCTATCGGTGGGAGGTAGATACTTGATGCTTCCCGTCGTCAAACGCTCCAACGCCAAGCATACGAGAGGACCACAATCTCCTCTGGCTCCGCTCGTTTGTTGTGGCGCGGTCTCGTCTCTAATAACTGTAATATTGAGCTTCTTTGGCTTCTTGTTTCCAGAACGAGTCCAATAATTGATCGCATCCAAGAATTTAGCCAAATGAGAGCTCCATCCCTTAATAACATCTCTTAAATCAGCCAATGATATGTAATTTATCATGCTGTCATACACTATTGTCTTAAGGGATGGGAGCTGAAGCTCGACGAGAATCCAATGTTTACGTTCCAAAACAGGGATAAACACTTGCAATCATAAGTAATAATTCATTCATTTGCGCACTTATTTCATAAAACCTTTAAACTCAATCTAAAATAAATACTAACCTTATCGACCTCCCACCATGCATGATAAAGTTTAGCTTGTCCATTGCCCAAATCAAATGATTCATCTCGTGCATTCTTCAAGTGAACGGCGTGAAAAGACGTCGGCATAATTGTATATCGTATATTTTTATTTTTCTTAAGTTTTCTTATTATTAGAAGACGTGTCACCCAGCATCGATATGCTGTTTTACAAAAAAAGACATATATTAGTGACTTACATAAATTTAAAAAAAAAAATCAAATTGAAATATAAGAAAAATATAAGACTTACCCCCCCCATCGAAATAGCCATTGTCTTCGACCCCTAATAATACGCCCCACCAAGACCGATCAAGCAACAAATAGATATCATCGGTGAGCTTGCATATGTCAGTGAAACACCCCTGGCTGCTCATGTAGATAAAAATCAACAGCGGTCTTAGCCCAAAGGGTGTTATCCAGGTGTCCGGTAGTTGTTCCCTCTCCTCTTCAGATACCGGTATGGTACTGGCCGTAACTACGAGAGCCAACTTGAATCCATCATGTCCGGCACGTCAGAGGGTTCTCAAGAAGCCTACATATGACGCCATGTGAATCGGGCTCTTGAATGGTGGGAGGGACCTCTTCAATGATGACAGTGGCCTCTTGAACGGTGGGAGGGGACTCTCGAGGAATGATAGGGGGGGCCTCTTCAACGATAGGAGTGGACTCTTGAGGGATGACAGGCGAGTCGGGCTTCTTCTTGCGGTGTCTTCGCACTATTGGGGTGTACGGAGACTTAATAGCACGTGCACGCTGTCCGATACGTGAACTCCGTCGTGCAAGCATAACCCGACGTAAAGCATCCACTCTATCGGGCCGCTAAATAATTAAATACAAAAATCAGTAAATAAACAGACATGATATTTAAACAGTGAAAACAAAGACAAATATGTTTCAAACTTGCATTGTATTCACCCAAGTCAATATTCTATCATAGTTCACAAAATGCATCAGATAACAAAGAAAAATATGTTTCAAACTAATACCCTGAAGTTAGTATTTGTCTTTGTTTTGTCTATTGGTTGAAGTAATGCAATCCATTCAAGTTTCAATTTGCAGAAGAAGAAATAGTTTACTTTCGCAACACGAAACTTAAAATCGCAACGCGAAACCAAAATCGCAACGCGAAATGAAAATCGCAACGACAGAATTGCAATGCGAAATGAAAATCGCAACGAAAGAATCGCAACGCGAAATGAAAATCGCAATGCGATTTTGGTTTCGCGTTGCGATCTTGTCGTTGCGATTTTGGTTTCGCGTTGCGATTCTGTCGTTGCGATTTTCATTTCGCGTTGCGATTTGGTTTCGCGTTGCGATTTTAACTTTCGTGTTGCGAAAGTAAACTATTTCTTCTTTTGCAAATTGAAACTTGAATGGATTGCATTACTTCAACCAAAAGACAAAACAAAGACAAATACTATTTCACAGTGTTAAAGAATACAAAGTTTAGCAGAATTGGCAGCAACCGAACAAATTTACTTTCAACCAAAAGACAAAACAAAGACAAATACTATTTCACAGTGTTAAAGAATACACAGTTTAGCAGAATTGGCAGCAACCGAACAAATTTACTTTCAACCAAAAGACAAAACAAAGACAAATAATATTTCACAGTGTTAAAGATACACAGTTTAGCAGAATTGGCAGCAACCGAACAAATTTACTTTCAACCAAAAGACAAAACAAAGACAAATACTATTTCACAGTGTTAAAGAATACACAGTTTAGCAGAATTGGCAGCAACCGAACAAATTTACTTTCAACCAAAAGACAAAACAAAGACAAATACTATTTCACAGTGTTAAAGAATACACAGTTTAGCAGAATTGGCAGCAACCGAATAAATTTACTAAGCAATCTAAGTGAAATGGCTAATCTAAGTGAAATTACGAGTAAATTTATCATTAAGTTAAATATGGAAAATCTTAAACTTACCTCGTTGCGTAGAGTATGAACTCATTCTGCAACGATACTATCATCTCACGTAGAGCGGCAACCTCACCACGTAAAGTTGACACCTCCACACGCCATGCACCATCGTTATCGCGTAGAGTACCGATCTCCTCACGCAAGGCATTGACCTCATCACGTAACTCCCTTGACTCATCCCGTTGAGGTGGAGGTGGAGAACAGGAGATAGGAGTCGTGGCATCTTTGCCGGTCGCCTATCATGAGGTGATGGTGGAGAAGAGGCTCGATGATGTGACGGGATAGGTGATGGCTCTCGTTCTAGAGGTGTATAGTCGGGTCTATCGGGTGATGGCTCTAGGTGAGGTGATGGCTCTCGAATTGGAGGAAGTGGATGCTGCTCATCATCCGTGCCATAAAAAAAACTCTGACTAGCTTGCCACCAATCAGTGGCAAGCTCTTCCTCCGTGGTGTCAGTCTTTGTAATGGAATGTTGGCCTCCTAAAATATAAAAACTCAAACAAAGTTAAACGTCTACTATTAATAACTAGTTTATATATATGAAAGTATTTGTGTTAACTTACATTATTTATTGTCGCATATGGTATTAAGTCTTCCCAATCCAACAGAGTTTTCCTCTTCCAGGAATAGCCCTGGGAATATCATTTGACGTTTTTTATTGCATATGTACGCATGCTGGGGAAAGCCTCGAATATCCAAATCTACAAACAATATAATAACAAAATTAGTAATTGTTAAATAATTAATTATAATTTTAGAAACATTATATAGAATTCTTACCTTAAAGGCCCAAACAAAGCCTGACAAAGTGTATTTGGACCCATCGCCCCGCAAACTTTTGCGGTCATCAAAGGCAGACGACAACTTAGTCCAGGTAGCTTTCCATATATACGAACCCCACGGAAACAGATTCCATGCATTCAGGTCCTCTACCAATATTATTAGCTCCCGATGAATAGGTTGTCTGGCCTCTCTGCCTAAAAAGCCGGCATACACAAGTAGTAGAAGGCATACTCGGACAACATCGACGTCATCCATCCGAGTGAAACCAGCTTTCTTATTAAACAATTTCTTCAGGTCGTCGACATGTAGGTTCGGCTTCTCCATTGACTCATCCGGAAAAACCCGGGATAACCATGATGGGCGGGCGATATGACGAGTGTACCGGCCTACATCATCGTGTCCGAATCGTAGACCAGTGATTAAGCAGAACTCCTTCCGCCCAAAGCAAGTATACGCTGGTGGAAAATGAAACCATATCTCTTCCTCACCACGTTGTATACTGTCGGGTAGATTTGATGTCATGGTCTGAAGCCACAAATGGGTCAAATTAGCATCTCCACCCGGATGCTGTACTCTCAGCCATGGCCCGAAGCAGGTTTCCTCAAACAATTGTCTTTGAGCAGGTGAAAGCTTCGAAGCAATTGTAGTGGCCAGGCTGACTTTATTTCTCAAGGTCAATTGAGCCGAAAAAAATTTCTACAAAAAAAATAAACATACCAAGTTAGATATACCAAAAACTACACTGTGAAGATATACCAAAAACAATAAACATAAAAAGTAGTAATTTATTCTTGAAACTAAAATTTGCAACACTGTTTTGTCTTTTGGTATAAATGAAAATCGCAACGAGAGAATGACTGTCGCAACGCGAAATGACAATCGCAACGAGAGAATCGCAACGCGAAATGAAAATCGCAATGAGAGAATCGCAACGCGAAACCAAAATCGCAAATCGCAATGCGATTTTGGTTTCGCGTTGCGATTCTCTCGTTGCGATTTTCATTTCGCGTTGCGATTCTCTCGTTGCGATTGTCATTTCGCGTTGCGACAGTCATTCTCTCGTTGCGATTTTCATTTATCTCGTTGCGACTCTTCTGCAAATTGAAACTTGAATGGATTGCATTACTTCAACCAAAAGACAGAACAAAGACAAAGACAAATACTAACTTGAAAATCGCAACGAGAGAATAGCAACGCGAAATGAAAATCGCAACGAGAGAATCGTAACGCGAAATGAAATCTAAGTGAAATGGTTAATCTATTATTGAGATGACCAGTAAACTTATCATCAGTTTCAATATGAAAAACCTACAATAATGCAAACATTTCAAAATAAAAAAATTAAAAAAACTAACCCTCGGAGGTTGATTTTCCATTTCTGAATATTGTGAGGGATTTCTGACCGTGAATGGTTGTGAGGGATTTCGCCGGAGATGGGGACGGAAATCTTCGGAGATGGGGACGGATTTCTTCGCCGTAGAGAGTGAGAGATGGAGATGGGACTGAGTTGTGATTTTAGGTTTTAGGTTATGAGTTGCGATTACGGGATTTTGTCTTAATATTCGTTTTTGTAATTTGAAAATAAAATACGCGTAGCGATTATAATGGCGCTTTAAATATCGCGTTGCGATTTACGGATACGCGTTGCGATTTTATGTATTATCGTTGCGATTTACCGATACGCGTTGCGATATACGGATACGCATTGTGATTTACCCATACGCGTTGCGATTTACGGATACACGTTGCGATTTACGGATACGCATTGCGATTTATGTGTTCGCGTTGCGATTTTCATATTCGCGTTGCGATTTTGGAAAATCGCAATGCGAATTTGACTATCGCATTGCGATTTTCAAGAATCGCGTTGCGATTTTGGAAACTGATTTGCGATTCTGGGGATCGCGTTGCGATTTTTATTTCGCGTTGCGATTTTGTTGGTCATTTTGGCAAATCCAAAAAAAGTTGATTAAAATCGTATATTATAACTTTTTTTTGGTCACTGAGGCGATTTTCTCATATAAATTTCCCCATTGCAATAAATAGCACAACTATTAATTAAGATTGCATTTACAATTACAATTACTTTATGAAAATGAGATTAGCACCAAACGATTTTGCAATTACAGAAATCGCAATCTTCCAAAATACATATATCGTACATGTCATACAGAGAGAACTGAAAGAAAACATATTTACGCTGAACAGAAACTAGAATGAATTGAGATCTGCTAAAATGGTCAGTTTTTCCCAATAACAAAAAATAAAAAGCACAGTGAATCAAACTAATTGGTCAGAGTAAGCAGAATTATCAGTCAACAAGTGTAACGGAAGAACAGCATTTCTTTCATTTCTGAGCAATCAAATTACCAATTTAAAAGGGGGAAAAAGAAGTTACCTTTGAGTGCTTGCTCCCTGTTCAATCTGAAGGATCGAAAGAAATGGAAATTAGGCTCGGAAAGAAGAAAAAACAAAGCAGATCCAAAAATATACAAAGTAATTGTAAAAGAAAAGAAAGAAGAAAGGAGTGAAGCGAACAGTTGCAATGACTTTTGCTCGCGTCAATGTTCGGTCGAAGCCGACCACAGCCCTTCTGGTTATGGCTGCCTATTTTTCTGTTCTTTTTCTTACAGACAAACACACACACTCTCTCTCCCTCTAGTTTTTTTTTTATTTTTATTTTATCTCTCACTCTTGTGTCCATTTCATAGCTTCGAAAAATAGTTTTCATAAGATTAATAAATAAATTCTTTTATAAAATCAATTTTTTATGTTTAGATTTTTTTATGTAAATTATTATTTTTAACTAAACAAGTGGTTTAAGGTATTTTTTTTAAGATTTTCAGTTTGAGTAATGTATATATTGTTAAGGTATGAATGTTTATTGTCAAATTATTAAGAATTTTTAACTTGTATTATCTAATTAAAAAATAAATTATTATGAATCTAATAACTTCAATTGTAAGAAGGAATATATTTCTCTCAAGAGATCATAATTTAATGATGTTTAATTGGTTAATTGGATCGTGATTGATTATATAAAATTGAATTAATCGAAAAGATTTAACTTTTAATTGGACAAATTTTTAATTATTAAATAAATAGATAAAATTTAATTACTTTGATTGATTTTTCAAATTAACCAAAAAAATTTATAAGTTATTGTTAGTGAATTATTTGAATATAGTTTAGATATTTTTTATTTCGGTTAAAATTTAATTGTATCTTAAAGGTTTAATAAGTTAAATGAATCTTGATTATTAAGAGAAAATAATCTCAGTGACCAAAAATGTCTTATAATATACGATTTTAACCAACTTTTTTTGGATTTGCCAAAATGACCAACTAAATCGCAATACGATCGATAATTCACAACGCGATCTCCGGTATCGCAAATCAGTTTCCAGATTCGCAACACGATTCTGACTATCGCATTGCGATTTCCCAAATTCGCGTTGCGATTTTTCTAATTCGCAATGCGAATACGTAAATCGCAATGTGAATCTGACTATCGCAATGCGATTTACATAGCGCCATTCATATTAACGCGTATTTTTTTTTCAAATTCCAAACACGAATTTCTTAATATATCAGAAACTGAACCGTCCACAGTAATCGCAACTCATAACCTCAAACCTAAAATCACAACACTCAGTCTCATCTCCATCTCATAACCTCAAACCTAAAATCGCAACTCATAATCTCATAACCTCAAACCTAAAATCCCCATCTCCGAAGATTTCCGTCCCCATCGCCGGCGAAATCCCTCACAACCATTCACGGTCAGAAATCCCTCACAATCATTCAGAAATGGAAAATCAACCTCCGATTGTTAGTTTTTTTAATTATTTTTATTTTGAAATTTTTGCATTATTTTAGGTTTTTCATATATTGATGATAAGTTTACTGGTAATTTCAATAATAGATTAACCATTTCACTTAGATTTCTTATTAAATTCATTCAATTGCTGCCAATACTGCTAAACTGTTTAGTCTTTAACCCTGTGAAGTTAGTATTTGTCTTTGTTTTGTCTTTTGGTTGAAGTAATGCAGAAGAAGAATAGTTTCGAGAATGAAAATCGCAACGCGGAAATGACTATCGCAACGAGAGAATCGCAACGCGAAATGAAAATCGCAACGAGATAATCGCAACGCGAAACCAAAATCGCATTGCGATTTTCATTTCGCGTTGCGATTCTGTCGTTGCGATTTTCATTTCGCGTTGCGATTTTCATTTCGCGTTGCGATTCTCTCGTTGCGATTTTCATTTCGCATTGTGATAGTCATTTACGCGTTGCGATTTTCATTCTCTCGTTGCGATTTTCATTTCAACCAAAAGACAAAACAGTGTTGCAAATTTTAGTTTCAAGAATAAACTACTATTTATGTTTATTGTTTTTGGTATATCTTCACAGTGTAGTTTTTGGTATATCTAACTTGGTATGTTTATTGTTTTTGTATAAATTTTTTTCGGCTTCATTGACATTAAGGAATAAAGTTAGCCTAGCCACTACAATTACTTCGAAGCTTTCACCTGCACAAAGAAAATTGTTTGAGGAAACCTGCTTCAGGCCATGGCTGAGAGTACAACATTCGGGTGGAGATGCTAATTTGACCCATTTGTGGCTTCAGACCATGACTAGCGATCTACCCAACAGTATACAACATGGTGAGGAAGAGATATGGTTTCATTTTCCACCGGCGTATACTTGTTTTGGGCGAAAGGAGTTCTACTTAATCACTGGTCTACGATTCGGACACGATGATGTAGGCTGGTACACTCGTCATATCACCCGCCCATCATGGTTATCCAGGGCTTTTCCTAATGAGTCAATAGAGAAGCCGAACTTACACGTCGACGACCTGAAGAAATTGTTTAATAAGAAAGATGGTTTTACTCGGATGAATGACGTCGATGTTGTCCGAGTATGCCTTCTACTACTTTTGTATGCCGGCTTTTTAGGCAGAGAGGTCAGACAACCTATTCCTCAGGAGCTAATATTATTGGTAGAGGACCTAAATGCATGGAATCTGTTTCCGTGGGGTTCGTATATATGGAAAGCTACCTGGACTAAGTTGTCGTCTGCCTTTGATGACCGCAAAAGTTTGCGTGGCGATGGGTCGAAATACACTTTGTCAGGCTTTGTTTGGGCCTTTAAGGTAAGAATTTCTATATAATGTTTTCAAAATTATAATTAATTATTTAACAATTACTAATGTTTGTTATTATATTGTTTGTAGATTTGGATATTCGAGGCTTTCCCCAGCATGCAGACATATGCATTAAAAACTTCAAATGATATTCCTAGGGCTATTTCCTGGAAGAGGAAACGTATGTTGGATTGGGAAGACTTAATACCATATGCGACAATAAATAATGTAAGTTAACACAAATACTATAATATATAAACAAGTTATTAATAGTAGACGTTTAACTTTGTTTGAGTTTTTATATTTTTAGGAGGCCAACACTCCATTAATGAGACTGACACCCACGGAGGCTGAGCTTGCCACTGGTTGGTGGCAAGCTAGTCAGCGTTTTCTTGATGGCACGAATGATGAGCAGCCTCCACTTCCTCCACTTCGAGAGCCATCACCTCACCCAGAGCCATCACCTGATCGACCCGACTATACACCTCTACAACGAGAGCCATCACCTATCCCGTCACATCATCAAGCCTCTTCTCCACCATCACCTCATGATAGGCGACCGGAAAAGATGCCACGACTTCTATCTCCTTGTTCTCCACCTCCACGGGATGAGTCAAGGGAGTTACGTGATGAGGTCAATGCCTTGCGTGAGGAGATCGGTACTCTACGCGATAACGATGGTGCATGGCGTGTGGAGGTGTCTACTTTACGTGGTGAGGTTGCCGCTCTACGTGAGATGGTAGTATCGTTGCAGAATGAGGTTCATACTCTACGCAACGAGGTAAGTTTAAGATTTTCCATATTTAACTTGATGATAAATTTACTCGTAATTTCACTTAGATTAACCATTTCACTTAGATTGCTTAGTAAATTTATTTGGTTGCTGCCAATACTGCTAAACTGTTTATTAACACTGTGAAGTTAGTATTTGTCTTTTGTTTTGTCTTTTGGTTGAAGTAAATTTATTCGGTTGCTACCAATTCTGCTAAACTGTGTATTCTTTAACACTGTGAAGTTAGTATTTATCTTTGTTTTGTCTTTTGGTTGAAAGTAAATTTGTTCGGTTGCTGCCAATTCTGCTAAACTGTGTATTCTTTAACACTGTGAAGTTAGTATTTGTCTTTTGTTTTGTCTTTTGATTGAAGTAAATTTATTCGGTTGCTGCCAATTCTGCTAAACTGTGTATTCTTTAACACTGTAAAGTTAGTATTTGTCTTTGTTTTATCTTTTGTTTGAAAGTAAATTTGTTCGGTTGCTGCCAATTCTGCTAAACTGTGTATTCTTTAACACTGTGAAGTTAGTATTTGTCTTTGTTTTGTCTTTTGGTTGAAAGTAAATTTGTTCGTTTGCTGTCAATTCTGCTAAATTGTGTATTCTTTAATACTCTGAAGTTAGTATTTGTCTTTGTTTTGTCTTTTGGTTGAAGTAATGCAATCCATTCAAGTTTTAATTTGCATAAGAAGAAGAAATAGTTTATTCTTGAAACTATATTTTAGTAACACTGTTTTGTCTTTTGGTTGAAATGAAAATCGCAACAAGAGAATGAAAATCGCAACGCGAAACGAAAATCGCAACGAGAGAATCGCAACGCGAAATGAAAATCGCAACGACAAAATCGCAACGCGAAACCAAAAATCGCAACGCGAAACTATAATCGCGTTGCGATTTTCGTTTCGCGTTGCGATTTTCATTCTCTCGTTGCGATTTTTATTTCGGTTGCGATAGTCATTTTTCACGTTGCGATTTTAAGTTCCAGAAACTATTCTTCTTCTGCAAATTGAAACTTGAATGAATTGCATTACTTCAACAAATAGACAAAGACAAATACTAAGTTGACAGTGTTGCAAGTTTAAAACATATTTGCCCTTGTTATCTGATGCATTTTGTGAACTATGATAGAATAATGACTTGGGTGAATTCAATGCAAGTTTGAAACATATTTGTCTTTGTTTTCACTGTTTAAATATCATGTCTGTTTATTTACTGATTTTTGTATTTAATTATTTAGCGGCCCGATAAGGTGGATGCTTTACGTCGGGGTTTTCTTGCACGATAGAGCTCACGCATCAGACGGCGTGCACGTGCTATTAAGTCTCCGTACACCCCAATAATGCAAAGACACCGCAAGAAGAAGCCCGACTCGTCTGTCATCCCTCAAGAGTCTACTCCTATCGTTGAAGAGGCCCCTATCATTCCTCGAGAGTCCCTTCCCACCGTTCAAGAGGTCACTGTCATCGTTGAAGAGGTCCCTCCCACCATTCAAGAGCCCGATTCACATGGCGTCATATGTAAGATTCTTGAGAAACCCTCTGACGTGTCGGACATGATGGATTCAAGTTGGCTCTCGTATGAGTTACCGACCAGTACCATACCGGTATCTGAAGTGGAGAGGAGACAACTACCGGACACAATTCTGGATAACACCCTTTGGGCTAAGACCGCAGTTGATTTTTATCTATATGAGCGGAGCCAGGGGTGTTTCACTGACATATGCA